ATTGAACTCCCATATCCTAACTGACCAGTCTAAATCATGGCTCATCGTGGTCAGGTTAATTTTTTCCTGATGCAACACAGCACAAAAATGTTCATGGCTCCCCATAGCCCACAAATCAGGTCCTAGGCTTGCTCACCAATGCCTTCAATAATTGCCCCATATACATTTTCAACTTTAATTTCCCATTTTCTCGGGCACAAATCTTCCATCCCAGTCATTTCAGGTGAGGTCCACAGCCTGAGACACAACTGCTGAATTCCTTTACTCACATGGAAAAGTCACCCCTTGGCTTTTACATCCTCTTCTCCCCGCCCATCTGAATGCTATCACCTTCCAAGCCCCAGCCCATTTCTCCAGCCCATGTTAATTATGCTTTTTCTGAAGGTCTAGAGCACTTAACTGACAGTACTATTTATCTTGTCACTTATTTAAATTCAGTAAGTGCTATTACTGTTCATATTTTGTTTTGGGAGATTTTTTCAAGGAGCATTTCTACATTCCTGGCATTGTGTTTGGTGCTCAAAATGTTTTCTCACTTAATTCATGCAATAACTATATGCACATTTTAAAATCAAGCATCAAGGATGTAGTTATTTGCCCAAGTTTTAACAGCAAATAAAGTGGAGTGATTGTTTTTCTTTTTGGTCCGTTTGTTTTTTCTGGAATTTCCAATTGCCTTTTGCATCTCTTGGTGTCCTGGTGGGATATAAAATGCTCTTACCCATGGTCTAGCCCTTGAAAGTACAAATCTGGTCATTTTTATCATTTAAAAAATTAATATTTTTATAAGAATGTTCATTGTGCTATTATTTATATCGTTGAAAAATAGAAATGTCCTCAGTGTCAAACACTAAGTTATGAAACATTCATATAGTGAAGCATTACAGCCACTAAAGTCATTTTGCATGGATATTTAATGAAATAGGAAAATAGTCATGACACAGTAGTGTTGAAGGAAAAAAGCAGGATATATTTTATGATTCATATGTTTAGTGAACACATAAAATTAACTGTGTGCCATATGCTGCTCTAAATCTCATATAGGAAGAATACTGTATAGAGGACTCATATAGGAATATTACCAATATATGACCTTGAGCTAGTAATTTAGCCACTCTAGGATTAATTTCCTCATCTGAAAAATGAAGACAGCTATATTTGTCTTACTGATGGTATGATTGAATGAATGAATACTTATGAAGCATCAAAAACACAGCACGTGCTTAAACAAATGTTCCTTTATTATGTTCTAGACTGGCCATCCTATAGGGCACTAGTGAGTATTTTTAGGTTGGTGCAAAAGTAATTGCTATTTTTGCCAGCACTTCCAATTAATATTTTGCTCATTTGGTTTCTTTGTCACCAAGTGATATGTTAGTAATTATTGAACAGTAATACATGTTTTAGGTTCATTAGTTAACTGAGAGATAGTTGCCTAAATAATTATGTATCTACTTCTACTAAGGAGAGGAGTAGATTTGTGTATAAGAGGGAAATCCTGACACTTAATTTTATGTGCGGTTAAATAGAATCAGGGATGTTTTCATGTTTTTACAGCTTCTCTAACAGTGGTCCCTTATTTTGACTTTGTTATTTTGAATGGTTATTTGAGTCACATTTTAGCTGCATAATAACTAACGACAATAACTTAAAGGAGTTAGGCTGATAATTTAATCTATGATGAATTAACAATTAAAATAGCACATTATAATTAGATATGATGTAATATATTCTTGCATTATCTTATCTTTGAAACAGAGATGCCTCATGATTTAGCTTTTTTTTTTTTTTCCTCAAGATAGGGTCTCACTGTGTCATACTGGCTAAAGTGTAATAGTGTTCACTGCAACCTTGAACTCCTGGGCTCAAGCGATCCTTCTGCCTCAGCCTCCTGAGTAGCTTGGACTACTGGTGCAGGCCACCACACACAGCTAATTTATTTTTGCAGCGACGGGTATCACTATGTTGCCCACGCTGGTCTAAAATTCCTAGCCGCAAGCACTCTTGCCGCCTCTGCCTCCCAAAATATTGGGATTACAGGCATGAGTCATTGCACCTGGCTGCAAATTATTTGTCTTACACAGAGATCTCTAATCCAGTTATGGATATCTAAAACTTGCCTCAGTTTTTCCTTTGTCCTT